CATAAAACACGCTGTTATTACATACTATTACACATCATCTACGTAATGCACCATTTATCGTAAATAGTAGCATCGCTGTTTGTTCTGTTTCAAAAAATTAATGAAAATTAAGCAAGAAAAATGAATTGTCGACAAATTTGCCATTGAATTATGAGTTCACAGAACGCAAAATATGTAATGCAATTGTTGCTACTCGTAATTTTTCTTTTCTTTTTTTCATTATGAAATAAGAACCAGTCATACGAAAGTTTTAATAAGGTACTAGAATAAGCAGTGTTCACGTAAAGAACGAAAAACAACGCAGAATTTCCGTCAAACCGTAAACTGCATTCATGATTTATGCATCATGTGTTACGTTTAGTAAAAATACTGCTCGCAATCCATGTAAATTAATTGAGTAAGCTACTGAAGTACATATCCTACTGAAGTTTCATTACTGCGTAGAGTAACATTTGCTTACCTAAAGAGAAAAGTGTGTATATAGAATATTATAAAAATTAAATGCTACTAAACTTAAATAAGTCCAAGAAAGACTGAAAATAAAAAAGATACCCAAACAAAAATATCTTACCCGTTTCATAAGTGATCATATTACAAATCCGCCAATTAAATAAATTATTCCTGTAAATACGATATTCATGTAAAATTCATAAATAAGAAAATATCACGGCTAATACTCCACCACGTTAAAAAACAAGCAAATTCTCAACTAAATCCGGTCATTTCTTCCGGATTAGTATCTCGATGATCAATTTCGCAATTCCTATCTTCGTCTATCGTATCCACATAACTATGCTATTTTACCACCGAGCATTTCCATTCCGAATCATCTGGTGGGCCGCATTAACCTCTCCTTTACACGGCCCACCGAATAATTGGAAATCTCATTGTTCATTAAAATAGTATTGTAATTCAGAATTGTAAGATATTTTCAATGCATGAGCGATGAAATTTGCATCTGCTTTTCTTATTTTCTCCATGAATTCTCGGGGAATTGCATCAAGCATTCTCATATTAACTTATCATAATTCTTGAATTTCATACTTACATATCCAATTATTCTTTAATCTTTTCATGTTTATTAAATTTCATAGTATTTTATGGTTGTTGCGCAAAAATTTTTTTAAAATCGATTCCTTTTTTTTATTTTACTTTTTCAAAAATAACATCAATAGTTGGAAATTTTTGTTGCGGTTATTTACGCTAAAATTTTCTCAAAAATTTGTCAGGTCATTTTTGATTACTATACATTGATTTAAAAAGAAGTTCAAATTTTATGACGTTCTTTTCTTAGAAGAAAACTGAAAAATTATTATTGCTATCGACCAATGCTTTACTGCTTTCGGTATTTTCCGTAAAAAAAAAAAAGGAATTTGGAGGACAGTAATGAAAATAACATTCAAAGGAAAGTTTCCAGTGACGATAATCTTTTTAGATAGTATATGATTAGTGAAAAAAGAAAAATTAGTTACTTTTTCTCATTTCGCCGTTAGAGAAATAATTTAAACTTCTCACAATATCCGATTTATATGATTCTAAATGGATTGAACTGGTTGAAATGATTGAAGTTTTAATTAAACAACTTCATGAGCCATAAGTATTAATCCCTTACAAGTCACAAATAATAATTCACTTTTCAGTTTTTCTTTCTTTCTTTATTCTATTTGATTTTTTTAAAAGATATTTCCAAGTTTAGTATTTCTCCTTATCCTGATTTAGTGATAATATTCTGATATTAATCAAAGAATTGAGGGGTATATATTACATTGCTGCATGTTTCTTAACAATGAAATATCAGATATCATTATAACACAATAAGCGTAAATTGACGTCGAAGAAGCGTAGAATGAGATCTAGCGTGGGCTGGGTGGATTCGAAGTGAATGACGTAGTAAGTGTATAGCAACGTTCATCACGTGACGAACGAAAAGAGGTAGCACTTATTGATATTTTGTAGTAAATGAGCAAATTGAAGAAATAAGATTTAATTCTATCTCATCAATTTTGATAAAATATGATTGACTGCAAATTTATGAGCTATAAAAAAAAAAAAAGAAGAATTGTTCTTTTACTTTACTAAATAATTCGAGTGATAATTTTCAAAATTTCCCAGAATATTTATTAGTAATCAAATAAATTAACAGTAACAATTTACCAGGCAAATATGCAAGCCACTAAAGCAAAATTTTGATATATTTAATCGTTAATTGTTCGCATGAAAGTTATACAAATATTAATTAAACGTAAAACATGGAAGTTACTGATAATTTTAAATGAATAATTAGACAGATTGTAAAGATTTAAATCTATTTCATATAAAGATATATATATATATACTTACTTTTTGATCACATAAGCTATCACATGGTTTGGAAGATTTTCTTTTATTTTGCAATCAAAAAAAAGAGAAAAATATACACATATTTTTTAATTTAAAAAAAAAAAGAATTTTGTTTTTTTTTGTTAAACACAAACTTTAAAGCATTTTTTTCCTACGACTGAAAATAGATAAATTTTGCGAATAATCAATTAAAAGCAATACAAAATTATGAGATTTACAAAAATACTAAATACATTTGTAATAAGCATATAGATAAACGTTAAGAATACATAACAAATTAATATATAATAAATTAATAATAATTTGTGAAACTTTTTGACATTTCTTTCTTTTTCATGACAATAAAAAATTAGAACATACTATGTACTTTTTTTATTTTCAGAGCTACTACAGAATTTTTTTTTTTAGTAGGAAAGTTCGAAATCATTTTATCAATATTCAAAAGAAAATATGAAGAAATCTGAGTAGTATTAATTCTTTAATCCTAATTGAAGCAATCAAATTCACTAAGTATAATAATAATAATAACATTCGGATCAACTGAATGGTACAAGTGTTAACTTTACTATTTAAATAAACGGCTAAAATGAACATAATTCTGACATTACCACTTAATTACTTAGTAATTTTAATAAACATTAGCAATAGTATTTAAACAATAAGGGAGAAATATGAATTCATACAATTTTAAAAAAATTGCATAAATTAAATTAAAATGTATCACTATTTTGATGAGAAAAATAGATTTTGCATTAACATTCTTATAGATAAAAATATTATAAAAAACATTTAACATTTTCCAAACCGATCGATCATATATCATTCCAATATCTTAAACATTACTCACTTAATCTCACTCAAACAAAATCAAATGAATTAATATATTAGCTCGCAATTTCTGATATATTTTATTGTAAGCGTACTTTGCGTATCTATCACGTGACTGAATAAATTGGATGACCTACGACACTGTCACGTGATTGAATGACGGAATTATATCTAGTCAACGGATAGTATAAAGATTACTACTGGTTAACGGATAGAAGAAGAAATAATTGATTTGAAATTTTAGTTGAATCAGTGAAAAAAGCATATCACATATGAGTACCAATAGCAATCTCATAAGTTCAAAAATAATCGATTTGAAATCTTAGTTAAATTCAATAACAATGAGAAAGCAGTATAAGAAAAAAAAAAAACATAAGGAAAAAAGAATAATGAATGAATGATCTGAGGCGCAAAAATGATGTGATGCCCCCCATTTTGTTTCTCTTTCATTCATTTTATCCGTTTATGTGTTATCAATACTACCGTAACTTTCCTTTCTTTCATTTAATAATAAATTGATTGGTGGCGCTATTGTACACTGGCGCTATTGTACATTATATGGTTTCCTTTTCTTTTAGTTTTATCTTTTTTTATTTCTTATTATTGTTATTCATGAAGGCACTATTTAATATCGCTTACTTCGATTATTTTCTCATTTCAGAAATTAATTAATTACTATTCGAGAGTAATTACTATTCGAGAGTATAGTTGAGATCAACGCTTCATGATGTTACCATAATTATTATCTACTTATTTTGCATTTATTGATTAATTAATTAAAACATAAGTTATATCATTATTCATTGTTTCATCATAATATATTCAATAATAATTATTAGTTATACAAATTCCTACTATTACTGCCTAAAAGATAAGAAGCGATTAATTGTTTAAAACAAACGCAACAGAAAATCAGCGTGTAAGTATAGAAATGTATATTTGACATAATGGAATGTATAATTTAACCACCTAAGTAGCTATTAATTAATTTTTTTAGACTAATTAATTAATTTCCGAAATGAGAAAATAATCGAAGTATGCGATATAAATAGCGCCTCGATGAATGAATAACAAGTAAGAAAAGAGATGCATGTGTACAATAGCGCCATCCGATCATGTGTACAATAGCGCCATTCGATCAATTTATTATTACATGGAAGTTACGGTAGTATTGATGACACACAAAAGGATGAATGAATGAAGAGAGAGAGAGAGAGAGAGAGAGAGAGAGGAGCGCAACGAGAAAGAAACAAAGTGGGATAGTATCACATCATTTTTGCGCCTCAGATCAATCATTTATTCGTTTATAACTAACTCTTTGATGAGAAGAAATCTTTTTTTTTTTCTTGCATTTCATTAAGTTTTGTTTCTAATTATTACTGATTTAGCTAAAATTTCAAATCAGTTATTTCTTATTCTATCCGTTAACCAGTAGTAGTACTCAGTATAATGTGTAAACTTTCCGTTGACTAGATATAATTACGTCATTCAATTACGTCAAAGTGTCGTAAACCATCCAGTTTATTTAATCACGTGACAGTGTCGTAGATCATCCAGTTCATTCAATGAAATAGACAACGTCACCTGGAATTAGTACGTGATAAGATGTTTGGATGTTTAGACGGAAAACTACGCATAGAAGAACTCTAATTCCAGCTGACGTTGTCTATTTCACGTGATAAATGGACAACTCATAAAAATATGTTTTGATGAGAAATAGCTTATTAAAATGAGAATGGTGAAGAATATGTTGTCGACATTGGTCATAAATTGAATTTTATTCCTTCATTTCTCTAAATATAGTTTTTCTTTTCTAGTTCTAACAGTCTACGATGCTGTCAAGCCCTGAAAGAGCTGTGGTACCATTACATACCGGACAACTGGCAACATCACCGATTTTTAATCAGAGACGTACTATTATTGAAACTGCTGTTCCAGTGCAATTAAGCCAGTTACTCAAGCAATATTATGGTTTTGAAGAGGGTGCTGATTTGTACATTTTACCTAACAATCCTAATAAGTTAGTTTCATTCTTTTTAAATCTTTAATTATCTTTCTCTTTTTTTTTTGTCTTTTTTTTTTGTGTTCGTTTGTTTGAACTTTAACAGTTCTTATCATGTTTTGGTGGAAACTTATCATGAAAGTGTGATAATAGGTGATTAGGAAATGGATTTGTTTTGCAAATTTTATCCTTTTGTTAAAGGACTTCATAAGACAAAATATTCAACAGCGTAATTGTGTATGTAATTGTTGATAGATGTATCGTTTAGTGTACTTTGACTCAACTAATTTTTTCTCAGTTATTGAGCTGATCTAGGTGCTCATAATAGGTTAAGATTTCTATGCACAGGAAATTCTTCAATGTGATAGTAAAATAATTCCATTTGAAGGAATTTTTCTATATTGAAATAAATGATACAACTTTAAATAATAATATTTGTAAAAAATGCACGATTACATATATTTTAGACTTTTTGTCTTATGTCGAGGACATTTGCGAACGGTCGATTTATCTACATGGCAAATAAGTCAACAGAGTAGTATTCCTCCGGTAATAATTCTTCATGTATGGTTTATGCGTGGAGCAATTAAATTTACATGTAATTTTGCGTAGCGATAGTAACGCTCGAAACTTTTGTCGCAATAATTCTTAGCTGTTTTTCAAATTGCTGTGCTGTATCTCTTGTTTTTATTGTATAACTTGATACATCTGTCCGTTTGTTTCTATAGTTTTTAGCTGTTTGGATAGTTGAATAAATTGCTTATATTAACCTGTACTAAGTTATGTATGTTATGGTAAAAATATTCATCTTTTATTTCTATGTTACATTTTGACTATGTTTCCCTGTGTTCGATTTTTCCTTTTATAGGAAGTTAGCAGTGATGATTTGAAAGTAAGTCCAAAGTCGCCTTTGGAAGATACAGAAAAGGATGGACGAGTGGCTCCACCTGCAACACCAGTTACACCACTTCGAACAGCTTCGACGGTAGCGGAATCATACTTTTCATTTATTGATTCACTTATAATTTGTTTGCTTACTTTAGGTTTTTCTCAAGTTTGTCTAATTTATTTCAGGTTATTGGGAAAGTCTCTCACCTGAGCATTATGCTATTTCTTCCCTTTCTAATTTTTCTTTTGTCACTACAGTAATGTGTATTTAACAAAATCATTCTGTGTTCTAATATACATGATTTGTATTAACATAAAAAAAAGAAAGACATAAGAAAGCATCTTGTATATGAACCAGAATGCAAATCGTTCAAAAATTTTGATGTTATCATTTAAGTGGGTAAATGTAGAAGTTATTCCTTTTAATCTTCTTAATTTAGCACCTTGTGTATGAACCAGAATGGCATAAAGCAGTTTCTGATAAAGAACGAGAAGTCCTTCAAAAAGGTACATTTATTTCATATTAAAATGGCGCTACAGGCTGTTGACTTATTCTCTTTTTTCATCTCAATTTTCAGAACGTCGTCGGATGAGTGCATATAAGACTTCACTTTGCAATGCATTCCGAGATACAGGACAATGTGCATATGGTTTTCATTGTCGATTTGCACATGGCATCGACGAATTACGTGCTGCACCAGGAGTAATTTCTCTTTAATTATTTTGATGAAATTTTATTTTAGAATTGATTCTCTTGATTCTTTCCCACTTTCCATTTGAGAATTGATTCTCTTGATTCTCCCCCATTTTCCATTTGAGCCTTTTTGTAACGTTAGCTGCAGAGAAAAATCGCATCCTAATGCTTTCTGGAATATCATTGACAACAATTCATTAATTATTTTGACATAATTTCCTCACTTTCTTTTTAAGTTTGATATTTTTTAAGCCACATCCCAAATACAAAACACGGCTGTGCAATAAGTTTACATTATATGGTTTATGTCCATATGGCAGTCATTGTCAATTTATTCATTGGCCCCCATGCGAACAGCAAGATGATTCGGTAGGCTACAATTTGTTGATTACTGTGAAATAGTAGCTGTTTAAATTGTCGAAAGTATTCGTTCACTTTGCAACTGTTAATTTGTGTATGACAGGACCGTACACAGAGGACAATCTGATTAAGCTATCGATAGTTAATGTTTGTTTAAATTTTTGAAAGATTCTATTAAGGGAATATGATGTAATTTATTATTTGGGGAATTTTACAGATCATTTTTCTGAATTTTTCATGATGTTCTTGAATTTCTGGTGCAATGCTTATCTGTTTATTTATTTGAAAAATATCGAAAGTTATGGACAATTTCAGGTGCATATGAACTTCACAGCAAGTCTCGACAGTGGTAGTAAACATGCACTGCATTATCGGCATTGTTCAGGTGCAAAACCGAGGTTAGTAATCTGTAATTATAGTGATTATATTTTATCTACACTTGAAAAGACAATATTGTTTAGTAACCTCAGTGGTTAGAAGTGTTGCTTAACAATTTTGAAATAGGTGATAAGTCATCGAGCCTCAAACTCTTTAAGTTATTGGTCACACTGAAAAGCTTTCAGATTTTGTGCAAGGAATGCATGCTGTGTTAAAGTAGCAGGATGTAATCGCTGTGATTCGTTTTCACAGCAGTATTTTGGTTCTGGTAACAATTTGCAGGCCATTGAAATGTCATGCAATCATTGCAATCCAGAAACTGCCCAGGTTTTTCTCCTTTCAAATGTGTTTCAAAAGTGTAATAGATAGGATCTGCTACCTGATGATTTCAGTTCCTTTTCCATTAAGTTTTTATTACGTTATATTTCTTGTCGTAGCTTTGGTTTTGGAAACTTCACTGTTTTAGTTAGGTAACATTGGTGCATGACCAGCGTTTAATAAATTAAAAATTTATTGTTTTATGCTAGCCAATAAATGAATGAAGTAAAATAGTTCAGTTACTGTATCATAAAATTTTTAGTAAAATGGACAGTGATTCAGTTTCATCAACTTTTGCTGAACAAATTCAACGGAAGTTTTTTGTTTACTAAGTTTCAGAATTTTTGGTACCACCATCTACCGCATACAAGCCATATGGCAAGCAATAATGCTGACACAACACTGGACATTATGCCGATGGTTGGCTCGAACGAACTGAACTCTGACATTACTGCAGTGAAGGACTTGTTTAGTACAGTGTAAGTTTGGATTATATTCATACTTCGGTTTCTGACCTTTTCAATGAAGGCTATTGTAGTAATATTGTTTTACAGTAATTAATTTGCTATTCCACCTTGACCAGCTGTACTTTGAATCTTTTGAATTATATTTGTAGGAGTATTGGTCAACATAATAATCCATTCACGCAGTCGTGTTTTCCACGAATAAATTTGGAAAACTGTGTTGAAAAAAGTGCAAACGTTAGTGATATATCGTGTCGTGCACCGTAAAATTCTTCGAAAATATTGTTCGTCGACATTTTTTTCATTTTTTCTGAATAGTTCTGAATTGCAACCTGTTGGGCTGCTTTTCCATGGAGTAGCCTATCATTTACTAAAATTGTACAGCTCATCGAAACAAAGCTTCCTGTAACATATTCGGACACAATGCATTCATATATAAATATTTTATTTTTGTATTTATTTTAAATCGCTTATCCTATCTCATTGGCAGATATCGTCATTTTACTCCTATCCATATGTGTGATTTTTTTTTTTTTTTTTGTATTCAGTAATATGCATCGGTTTGATGTTATCATTTTTCTTTTCATATGTAAATTTCTTGGTTATACGTTTCACTTTTCATCCATTTCAGTACCATACTTATATCATGTTGTGTATATCATTGTGTGTGTGTCATTTTTTATTTCAGAATGGTTCGTAGAACAATCATTTATACTTTACTCTTTTATATTTCTGTTTTCTTTACAAATTATTTACATTATTTTTCTACTAGTTGGCAAATCCGTTTATGTTTTTTTTTTTTTTCGGATTTGGTTTGCCAAATATTTTATTCGGTAATGAATTGCGAAAGAGATATGAAATTTCGAAATCTTAGAATTATGTATGTGAAATTTTAGATGAAAGAATAAGCAAAATTGACAAATTCTAGATTCATGTTTCAGTTTCAAAATTCATCAAGAAAGTATACCATCATCTGTTTATTATTTTCATGTGTATTGTATTTTTATATTTGAGTTGATTTAATGATGCATATTCACTGACTGTTGGTTAATAACATTACCGAATTTCTTTTCCAGTCAGCATAAGATTTAATTATTTGTTTATTCATTGCTTTTCATTACTGCTTACTTTGTGCTGTATTACATTTATTTTCATTGTATGAAGTATAAAATGTTATCATTCTGAAAGATTTATTACTGTGAAACTCTGCACATTTCTGTTTGTTTTTTTTCTTGCTTTTCAACATTGGAGATTTGTCCATTTTTCTTTTTTTTAATTGAAACTTTCGAGCATTGTTTCCTTATAATACAATCATCTGAAGAAGTTACAATCACAAAGAAACTCTTAAAGATATATTTACTTACATTAGTGGTATTATTCCGATTTACAATATGCTTTCTTTTTTTAACTTTAGTGAATTGATCGATTGTGAGGGTAGTGTTTGTGATGATGGATTAGCAGTGATCGTGGTGTAGTTTTGGGTTTGAAATTATGATGGTTGATATTTTGGTTTGGTGATTTAACACAAAATATATCAGTATCTTTGAATAGAAATTTCTGAGATGTTTGGCGCGAAGTTTTGGAGAAAGGGTTAAGTGAGGTCAAAGATAGCAGACTTGAGGTTGTTCGTTTCCTAACAATTAGTAATTTCGTGATATAAACCGATAACAAATTTGATTGATACTCGTGAATAATTAAAAATCATTATCGCATAAATTATGGGAAATTCATAGATGTACACATTTCTATGATATAATTTTTTTCAGAAATCACTTTCAACTGTTTTCATACTCCTAATATACAGATCAATAAATCATGCTACTAACAGCGAGCGAATCAAATATAACTTCAACTTGTGTATGTCAGCGATCGTTTATGACTTAATTTACCACAAATAGTAAGTTTCTTTGTTTGAATGTTTTTCGTGAAATTTACTATTATGCTCCTACCGTAACCATCGCTTTTCTTTGTGTTAGTTTCATTCAAAGGATTCCGTCATCGTAAATCATTTGTCCTTTGAGTGATGAGAAAGCGAAGACAGGAAATAGCATAAATCTATTGTTAGTCTTAGTCCATCGCTCAGTTAATTTCTCTCCCATTTAAAGTGCTTGGTCGTGTATCAAATCATCTGTTTAATAAGAATTAAAATCAATGCCACAATGTGTGAATATGATTGATTAGGTACTGTAGTAGGAATTGTTGGTTGTTCCATCTCGTTAATCATTGTTAAATTATGTTAGAGCGTGAAATTGCTCTGTTACTGGAATTATGCTAAGCATTATCTCATATGTGTTGTAGTCTTTTGATATCATGCAGGCTTAAGGTTGAAAGATTTCGACATGTGTATAGTTGACTCGGTTAGTTTCTCATTTTTGGTATTGTTTGTGTATCTTTATCATTACTTTGTGTTGAAAGGTAGCACTTACATTAAGTTTTCATCCGAAGAGAGAAGAAGTAGTAAATCTTTTCGAATGAAAAAACGCAGAAGCTGAATTGTTAGTTACTCTTATGAAAGCGATCATGGAATCGCGGTGATATTTTGAGATGAGATAGCAGTTATTGCTATTATTGTGTTGAATTTTACAGACAGTGCATAAAGAAACTAGATTCTCTTTAAAAGCTTTGTAGATGCGGTCAAAATTGTTCAAAAGATTTAAGATATGACACGAAGTCATGAAATGTTGTACATACTAAGATTAATTTCATGCCAATATTAGGAAACCTGAATTATACTACTTTTATGGGATGAAAAACTCAAAGGCATTTATCGGTGATGTAATATCAGCAGAAATGATTTCTGTCACTTATATTATTGACTATTTCTTTAGTCGGCGAATTTCAGATTTTATTTTTAATTTTTGCTTATGCTTTCGTGATTTCTGATATTTCTGATGGCTGCAGTGGTACATTCCAAAAAGGAGGAACAAGATCTGTGGGCACAACAGGCACAACAGTTTGGTATGGTGCCTATGGCAATGGAATTTTGGGATTTCTTATATCAAACGTACGGTATAGAACGACATATGACATATTTCAACCAAGAAGAACCAAACAGGTTGAATCCTTGTCTTTTCCTTTTATCTTTTTTTTTTTCGGATTAATATCAAGTTTTTCATGCAGTAATTTCTTACGAGATATTTTAATCGAATCACAAGTACACAATTTGAATCAGCGGAGTTTCGATTTCCATAAAAGTTGAAGCTTTATATAATAAGGTAAGGTAAAATTTAGCCAATAGTTTTGCTCGTTGTGTACCTCTTAAGATGGAGGAACATATGTACCAATCAGTTAAGTAGTCGAAACAATAGTCATAAATCGTCGACCATTTAAAAACTGCTATGTTTCTTGATACAGTAACTAATTTTATCGCCAATGAACAATAACATGATATCGTTGTCCCCATAATTAATTGGCTTTATATAATTTGTTCATCGAAGTCAATAAAATATAATTCGTCATCATGATTTTTAACAGTTCTATTCATTATTTTATTTCAGAATGTACTTCATCACTCATGGCAAGCTAAATTATATTGATCTATCCGGAATTAACCCAAAATTTTCAAAAATGTTTGAAGTAGGTGTTACACCTTATTTACTTACTGCCTGATTTTTTTTTTTATTGTAAACAGAAGGATTTTGTTTTCTGGAGGATTCTTGTCTGTTTGAGAATATTATATGTGACATAATGATTTTTGCTATGAATAGTGAAATTTAGTTCACGAAATTTAAGAAAATGAGTAGTCGTTTATATATGAAACATATTTAGCGCCATCCGAATATGAAAAGTGGCCACGTAATTGGCTTTTCAAAGAAAGCTTCATTTTAAGTTACATATTCTTACATTTACATAATTATAGTTATAAGCTTAGATTTGTTTTCTTTTGATATTAGTATCTCATTCTTTCCTGGTAGCCCGTGCCTTGTTTTCCAATTATGACAGTGATATCTTTCTTATGTTGAGAGATTATTTCTATATTTTGATAGCATCTTTTACCTGGGATTAGGTCTAACACTAAAATTTTCTCGTTTTTTCTTTTTCTTTCAATAATGGATATTTACTAGTGTGATATTTTCTCCACAACGGTATGGTTTGTATGTGCAACGCATAAATACTTCAAATATTTTTGAATGTTATAGATACGATAGGCAAATGTATAAGGGATGCAATGAATAGTTAATTTTGAAATAAGCAAATGTGTGATATCACGGTGATAGAGAAAAGATCAAATTAGATGTGCTTTGTAACAAAATAGGATCTGATTGAGTAGTTTGTAGAGCCGAAAAAGGAATGCCTTGCAGAGAAGGCGGTGTTTGGAACCATTCTTTATTTTGTTGAGATAAAGAATATCGCTAATCCAAGTATAGAATAGAAATGAAATGGTTAGTAAAGATCTCTCTTTACATAATAAGAGTTGGATTTCATATATTTATTAACAAATTGTAAAATTATTGACAATACAAATGAGTATTGGATCTTAATTGAAGTATTTAGTTAGGAATTATTGAGATAAAGCAATCTTTAATATTACGGATCTAATGCAAATTTATTTCAGTATATTATATTCAGTCTTTCCAACATTTAATTCAGATATTTGAAACAAAATTATTTTAAAACGATGTTGAGATCAACTTTAATTGAGATCTTTTTAGATTTTCAATTTTTGTAAGTTTCAGAAGCGCAGTCTTGCCCCGTCTAAAGACAGCAAAAGACCTATACGTCCATGCAAATCTGTTTGGCAAGCATTAACGGATGTGGAACGTAAGGAGTTTCAAAAAGGTAAGCCATCTACTGCTAGAACATTGCAGGTGGCACTTTTTATATCTACTTTATTGCTATTAAATTGGAAATGTTTATAAATTCAAGGATCCTTAGTGTTCGCAATCAAATAGGATGTCTTATCATTGGTATGAATATTTCGTTGACGGGATGATATTTTTGATAGATATGACAGATAGGTTAGTGTAATATATTTCCATGTTTTGTTGGATGTTTTTTTTTTTCATTGGAAGAGGGAAAGAGAAATCAGAAGTCATTAAGAAGTTAAAGCTGTTTGACTTTTGTGTTATATTCAATTAATGTTTTATGGATTTATTGATTGTAGAGGCAGGAAAATTGCATTAGGTCAAAGGAGCACAATAAGAAAGATTAAATCCTTCCATTACCGTAACCTCCTTGTCTTGCATTAATTTGTTGCTTAGTTTTTTTCTACAAGGTCATTAATTATCCGCTGATGTTGATTGCCGATCATGTAAGCAAAAGAAAAG